GATTAGCTGTTGCCAGGGCCTGGGTTGGGGGAGTGACTGCTAATGGGTATATACGGGGTCTCTCCCTGGGGTGGTAAAATGTTTTACAACTAGATTGTGACAATGGTTACAAACTCTGTGAATATAATAAAAAACAGTGAACTCTACATTTTAACTGGGTGAATTGTATTTTGTGTGAATTATATCTCAATAAAGCTATTATCAAGAAATTAACATGCTTGGTAACATTCACAACAACATTGGCATGAAAGATACAAGAAAATAAAGTTAATTCAACATAGACTCCACTTAATGCTAAAATACATAAAACTTGACACCGCTGTCTCCCAGTTATATAACACATTCTTATAGCAACCAACATTCCCACTTCCTTTCACTTGTCATCATCATTCATATCTGTCTTCCTCTCTACAATATAAACTCTGAGGATTGAGGACAGAGACAGTGTCCTTCCTACATAGTGCTATGATCCCAGTACCTGGATCATATAACCAATAAGTATCTGCAACAGAAACTTATATACGTATGTCTGTATGCATGCATGTAGTATGTACCTTCATATGAATGAATGAATGAATGAATGAATGAATGAACGAACGAACGAACATATAAAATGAATAAAATTATTGGATTGGGGCAATTCAACCAATCAAATTGATGTATCCTAACTGTCCCTTTAAATCTGTTCTCCAATTCTCCCACACTTGTGGCCACCCAGGTAGAGACATTTTCCCAGCAGCCATTTCAGTTTCTCGTGACCATGTGAGTGCACTCTTACCAATTAAATGTCAATGGATATAATGCGTACAATTTTTAAATCATTTACTTCAAAGAATATCAATCGATTGGACTTCACAGTGCTTCAACCACATAAATAATGACAAACCCCAAAGTAGGAGAGCACAAGATGGAGAGAAACTGCCCAGTCAAGCTAGACTGGCCATGCTGTTACATGCGAGGGAAGTAAACTTATATTTTATTGAAGCCGTTGTATGTGGGGGTTTGTATGTTATATCAGCCTAGTCTCTCTCCTAATTGTTACCACCCAGGTGCACGCGCACACCATGGAGGGGTCAGGAGAAGCAGGAAGGATTTCAATGCTTAACTAAACTGACTGCCTATTGATTTCTGCCAATGGCAGCCCAATGAAGACATTCTATTACAGTGTCTTCATAACAACTTCATGAATTAATAGTCACATAATTCAAATGCTGAATATTATAAAGAGATCATTTTGAATGAATTTATCTCAGAATATTTTCGTTATGTAAGTATTTATATCATACACACACACACACACACACACACACACACACACACACTTCCCAAAGAACCAGTGAATATATTTTAAATGGCTGACTAGGCAACTCTAGCTTTTTTGTAATCAAGAAATAATTTATAATATGTAAGACAAATGAGTACAGTATATAAGGATGCATTATAACTCCTTGATCTAACAAAGAAATACACCTCAAATTGGAGGCAGAAGAAAAATCACAATGATTACACATTCTTTTAGATTGTTTAACTTCCAAATAAATTGACTATTAAAAAAAGAACAGATAAAATGAGGTTTGAACATGCCTAATATTTAAAAATAAGCATTTAGTTGCCATCTGTAGGATCTTGACTATTACCGTCCACTCCCCATGCCTCTCTGAATTAGATACGAGATGATGAATTTTACAAATTGAATTTCAATTTGAAGCAAAAATGCATGTGGGTGAATTGCCAGTGGTGGGGGAAGCAAGGAGAAACTGATACACAAAACATTTTTTAAATGACCAAATCAAGGCCCCCATGACAGAATGACATCAATGCAATTGTGACCAGAGAAAGTTGCCTTTTTATCTCCAGTCTTGACATTCTAGATGACCTTGGGTAAATTACTAATAATCTATGGGACCACCTTCCCAGTTTGTAAAGTAGGGATTATAATAATTGCCAGCTACCTCAGAATGCTGGCAACCAGACCCTTTTTAAAATGTTCAGATCTACTGGGAAGGAAATTGTTATACCACTACCCATGTATAAGCATGGGTACTAAGTACAATGACTATTATTTTTTATTATTTATAACAAAATTTGAAAAATGGCTTCATCTGATTTTCTGAATTTGCCTGACCACTTTTATGCATATAACCAGTTGTTCCCATAATGTCAATGTATACATATTTATTTGCATCTATGCTGACAGTTAATGATTCCGAGATTTTAAATTTACTGAGAAGCTCCTGGCATATGAAACCTGTACCTTCTTGCAGCATGGAAGATAGTGCTAGTTTCTTAACCATCATCGGGTAACATGATCTTGTTTTTATTTAAGGTTTATTCACTGGGAAGAAACACTAACCATTCTATCTATTTATATATCTTTTTTAAGATTTTATGTATGTGTGTGTGTGTGTGTATATATATTTTTATATGTGTGTCTTGGGCACATATATATAAATATATCCTTACCCAAGAATACATTTATTGATTTTTAGAGAGAAAGAAACATCAATACGAGAGAGAAACACCCACTGGTTACCTCTCACACCTACTCTGATAAGGGATTGAATCTACTCCAATGAACTGAGGCACCGTGACAGGGTTCAAATTTATATGGTTAACAAACCTTATTTTCCTTTACATACAAGACATGAAGACACATAGAGATTAGTTTTTAAAGGATCACTGAGCTTGTTAAAAGGTAAAAAATTACATGTAATTTATTATTTGAGTATATATACCTTATTAGTAAAAAGAACTTAAAGGCAAGTCAAAACATAGGTGAAACTGATATTGTAGAAAAAAAAGTAATAAAATATTAACTGGGGATAGAAAAAATTAAGGTTATTTTAAAATATATCAACAACAAAAAGTTGAGTTTGAAAAAACTACAGAGATTGAGCACAAACTCCTACTCTAAGCTTCCCAGCAGTCAAGTCAAAATACAAATTATGTGAATTTCTTATTCTGCTTCCTCTGTGCCATAAAAGGAGGCATCAGAAGGACAAAATTTTTCTGTGTTCCTAAATTTGAAAAGGGGTTCCTTATTTTCAGGATATAATATAATACACTATGTTTTCGACAGTAAAGAAAGCATTTTGGTAATATAGTATTGAATGTCAATTGTAATTAAAAAATAATCTTTTTTTAAAAAAGAGAGCATTTTTTTCTTAGTCAACACTAATGACAAATTTTAGAAACTTTTTTTAACTAAATGTGCCCTTGACTAATGGTAATTTTAACTTTGAACAATGTTACTGAATTAGGAAAAATCACATTGCACTTATTCAGTCGCATCCATTTTCAGGTCATAGGTATAAGCATGGACGTTACAGAGACATCAAGTCTGAGGAAAATCATTCATGCTTACAGATGGTTCCAGAAAAAAACAATGAAAATCCACTGATGAAGCTCTATGTGAGGCTATAGAAACAACATAGCTCTCAGGCTGAATATTTCATCTGTTCCATCACTTTGTCAGCGTAATTTGTAGCTGCACCAGAAAGAAACCTTTGCTAACAGCATGAGATGAGATAAACACTCAGCATGGCTTTGCATGAGGAACACCTTGGGGTGAGATCTACAGGGATCACAGAGACCGGGAGAGACAACTTACACGTGAGGGGAGGAATTGTGGCAGAGACTGAATGGCCCACAAAACGAGAAAAGGTTTACTGTATGGCCCTTTACAGAAAATGTTTGCAGATCCCGGGAATAAACTAAGCCTTCATTTTTAAGATTAGAAAACTGAGTCTCAGCAAAGGAAAGTGCTTTGCCAAAAGTCACATTATAACTCGATAACCCAACTGTTGAATGGAATCACCTCTTTCCAGGAAGGATGATCAAGCACTTCCCACAAAGGTTTAATTTAAACAACAAAGGTGGTGAGATGAGGCATGCTAGATTTTTTGGAGCAAATCTAATGTGCCAAAGCCCAAGTATAAAAACAAATCATTACCTTTATAATAGATCCTAGAACCCAAAACCCTGGATGAGATTTAAAACAAACTGATGTAACAATTTTCACATTATGAAAATTCCACCATAAACCTATTCAACTAAAGAGTAAGGAGACTGTATCTTTCAAATTCACTAACTTTAATGTAGTTAAGATATGGGCAAAGGCTTTGTGCAACCAGGACAGCTAATAATCTGTTTGGAAACAGACACAAGTGGAACTATTATTAGTCAAAATTCAAAAATAAAATGAAGATGCTATTTGAGAAATAGAAAATGTTAAAATGACCTGCAAGATTAACTTGTATAGGATGAGTGTTGCCCTCACTGAGATACTTTAGGAATCAAGAAAATGTGTAGCACCATAACTACTTTAACCAGAGTATGTTTTTGTTCCGCTTCCCAAATGTGAACTTGAGAAAATTCATTTAGCTTCAATTCATCAAACAACACTGGTCTTTCGGAAAACTTCTAATTTTAAAATCAAGTACTCATTTGATTTTTCAAGCAAGGTCAAGAGAACAAGGCAGCCTATTGCTGACATCACAGGGGTATGCCCCACACCGCTCAGCAGTTACATCAATGTGGCGTGTTGCTATGGTGCCTGACTATTAATTTCAGAAAGAAGGTGATTATAAAGCCACCAGATGAACATCAATCGGATGACACCACTTCAGCTCAGATCACTGACATGCGTTACTCTTGTTAGCAGCAAGTACATTTTATGAAATCATCACTTTTGTGATGTGAATATTCCCCTTGTAACTTTAAGCCTAACAATTCAGCACCTCCTACCCCAACCCTCAAAAAAAGTTCAGCTTCAACAATGGGGAAAGTGTTTGATATTTAGGAAAAAATGTGACTGTGGAAGATTGCTTAAGGGCAATCTCTTCTTTAAGACCTCCCAAAATATGCTGCACACATACTTACACACAAATAAATATACATATATTGGATAAATATGTAGATCAGAAGAGAACTGAATTAAATGCCTAAAAGGTGACAGATACTACCCTACATGGAATCCCACTACTCATACTTGCATTTACCTTTTTGGCTTCTGTAAAGCAATCTTCAGTTACAGTCACCTCTCAAAAGGTCACTTCTTACCCTGAAAACAGAAGAGAACATCAAAAACTGAATGTCAAGAGAAAGAAGCAACCACCTCTTTTGCCTGGGAGAGATTCAAGAAAAACAACAAAGGGACTCAATTACGTTTAATGGCAAGTGACTTTCAGAGTTGATAAAAACAAGTCCCAAGATCTCCACTTGTCTGGCCCACATACCTTTGAGCTCTTCAAGACAACAGAAGTAACTCAGATGGAAAAAGTAGAGGTGAAACATTTCAAATTTTGCGTACAAACTTTTTCTCATCTTGCCGTCTATCAATTTGTTTTCACGTGGAATAATACATGACTCACAGGCCTTTGTTTTTGGAAACCAGACTGCTATTTGAATGTGTCTGTTTGGTTAACATGCACAACCTCTCTACTTTCATTAAAGTAGAGGCTTCTTTTTTCCCCCTTCGGAAGAGAGTTAGCTCTTGTAGACAAGATGCTTTATGCCACTCTGGACCTTTCAAAATGAATAAAAACACCACAGTTTTCAGGTTGGGGAACGGGTTGATGAAAGCTGTTCTCAGAATGTTTTCCAATTAGTCTGTATCTACCAATTAATTAAGTTAAATAAAAAGTGATCATGTCAGATGAAATAAACAATTAAAATCAAGCTTCCTGAAACACTCTTTTCCCCTCATCCACTCCTGCCTGTGCATCCGCCCTTATCCAGAACAATGTGTAATCCTTTAAGAAACACCACAAGCTGACTGCCTCTTTCTGCCTGTGGAACTGGGATCAACATATGGCATAAGTGAAAAGAAAAACATTTGTTTATTAATTTAGATCAAGTTAGCAACAGGGTACAGGATTCATTCCACATCAATTGACCAAATGCTCATATAATTTTTTAAGATGGTGAAATTATATAGTATCATTTTACCAAAATGTTAATATCCTTTTGCTCACTCTTCAGAACAATATGTGGTTTTAATATTATACAAAAATATATCCCTGCTTATCCTTCTGCTGAGGGCCCTTAATGTGGAAAGGCAAACATCACTGAGAAGAGTTAAATCTCATTTCACGAGGGCTAAAAATTTGAGAGTGGCACTTTGGTGTGTACTATCTTTCAGGAATTGATCCAAGGCCAATTTATGACATTTCCACAAGCAAGTGTATGCAGATTCTTGCCATTAAGATTGGAAAGAAATGCAGGCTCTGAGTGAAATCATAATTTTCATGTTTACTCTAAGAGGAAATTGGAGGTTTTCACCATAAATGCTCACCATTTGGGTGGGGGAAAACCCTAGCTCTGGGGCTTAAAATTACTATTTTGCCACCTGCCCCAAATCTTTTCATTTTTACACAAAACAATTCAAATTGAAGATGACAATTCTGTGCTTTACTGCTGATATGTGTCCCTGGGACTGGTTTCTCAGGTGGTGAGAACTGTCAAAGGGAAATGGTGGTGAGGAAACAGAGCAGTGAGGGTCAGGCCCTCTTAGGTAATGTGCAGGTCCGCAGAGCAGCCCCGCTCCACACACATCAGAAGAGCTCGTTAGACAGAAGGAAGAGCAATAATATTACACACCAGAAATTTCCATCTATACCCCACATCTAGTCTTAAATGGAAAGGAAGTGGATTCTGGCAAACCTTACTCAATTGAAGGCAAGACCTTCCTTTTCCCTCCTTTTGCTTGAAACATCCTCTAGTGAGTGTACTCTAAACTAATTTTCATGTTTATCTATTGAGCTGCATCTATTTTTGAATGTTTGGCAGTCGGATTTATAATATTAGATTTTGCAGTGCAGATGAGATTGCTATCATACAGGCCTGGCAAACAACTGGAACTTATTAAAATTTAATTTTAAAAAACTGCTGAAAATGCCTACTTTTGAACAAAGTTATTTCTAGTACTGTGCTCAAATGTGCAGAACATTTTCAGGTAAGTACTGGGTCAGTTTCTCTACTCCTCTCTACACAATAAGGTATCAGTGGACAGCAGAAATATAAGCTGGTTCACCTCACAGATATTACAAGTGTAATTTTTCCCTGGGGGGTGGTTCATAATAACAAAGTTACACATTTGACCCTCCAACTTATATAACTAAAGCAATACAAAATTGGTTACATTTAATTTTTGCTTATATATAAAAAACTCGCAGTGGTGTTCAAACCATTGTTTCCTCCATTTTGAAGTTCCATCATTTTTAATAAATGTGCATATTTGATCACTCATTAACTTATTTTTGTTGATTTTAGTTTTTAGTTTATATTTGCGAAGTAATCTAAAAGATATTTTTCCAGCCCTGACCAGTGTGGCTCAGTTGGTTGGGCATCGTACCACCAAGCAAAGGGTCACTGGTTTAATTCCAGGTCAGGGCACGTGCCTGGGTTGCAGGTTCTGTCCCTGGCTGGGGGATGCACATAAGCGGCAACAGATCGATGTTTCTCTCACATATCAATGCTTCTCTTCCTCCCTTTCTCTCTCCCTTCCCTTCTCTCTAAAACTAAATACATAAAAAATTTTAAAATATATTTTTCTAGCTTTGCTGAGAAAAGTCTAATTGTTCAACAGCTGTTTACTATCATGCTAAATTAAGTGAAATGTGTCAATATAGGAGACAGGACAATTAGGGTGCAGAAGAATCAGAAATCAACAACCAGGAGAAAAATCTACATTTCATTTTTCCCAAAGTATAAAACTGCTATTTCCAAAACTGTATTTGCTGTATTTTAAACAATCAGTTTTTCTTATCAAATCTCTCAACTATTTACCTGAATGCTTACTGGCAGTGTGATCGTTAAAACTCAAATTAAATGATTCTGTGAAGCTTTTAAGGCAAAAGAGAAAAAAAACAGAAGAAAGAAGAAAGAATAATGTTCACCCCCAGCCCACTTGTCTTCTTAAAAAAAATTCTGTCAGCATATGAACTGCATTTTTTTTTCTTTTCTTACCTTTCTTAAGTTTCCTGATGGTTTTAGGTTTTAAAAGTGAACCAGGGGTATAGTTAATAGAAATTACTTATTTTCCTTTATGTTATTCCCTATACTTAAGATCCTTTGAACACTAGAACAGTTCAGTCTGTGGCCTCTTCACTATTGTTTGTGACAGTGTTACTGATCTGAAGCTATTTGATGACCAAAAGAACCTCAACCTAAACATCACTGCAAAGCTGTGGCTCCCTAGATTAGGTTAATGCGCCTTCCACCTCCTCTATCTTTCCAACCTCTCCCCCAGTTAGGAGTTGGACTCTATAAAAACATCTCAGGTTACTACAGGGCTTCAGTGTCACACTTTTTATGGGTATATTGGTCCCTAATTTAATCTATGTGATCAATGATTCATAGTGCTACCGAGTATGGCCTACCTGGAACCAAGCTGCAGGTAAATGTGGAGGTGTGATTTCATCTTACAAGATGGAAAATGAACAATATATATTGTTTTCCCTTTAAATGTATACTCCCTCCCTTTCTTTCATAGCAGCTCAAGGGAATGATTTCTGTATCAAAATTTCTGCATTATATTTCATTTTACACTGTTGTACAAAAGCGACTGAAGGAAGGCCAACCTATGTCATCTCAATCTTCAGTCCAACAAATGTTGACTGAGTGTCATATCACTGTGTGTCATGTCACTGGGGATGCAGGGATGGTCACAGACATCTCCTGGCCCAGGATGAGGTGGCAGTTTAGTAGTTCCTCTCATGTTGGAGGGTCCCTTCTCCTTAAGTCTGGAAACATGGTTCAAACTTCCCATACTTCCAAATACTCTAATTAAATGACATAACCTACTTTAGAAAAACAAGATCTTAATGGGCCAATTTCCAAGAAATTGCTGCCTCTTTAGTGAATCTTAACTCATGTGCGCTTTTGTCTTGTTTATCAAAGATTTCTTGGGAAAAAAAGAAGCATATCAACACAAATTGGACAAACTGAAAATTGTAATACGAGGATCATTTCATTTTCTGCACTAAGAAAATCCACTCAGAAATCAATCCCAAAGTGTATTTCCTCTGCTTCTAAAAACTTTGAAATTGGCTACATTTTGAGTGAGGTTTACAAAAAAGAAAAAGGAGAAGAAACAGGAAGAACAAAACAGGGCACAAAGGAGAAGAAGGAAGGACAGGGATTGGAAAGAAAAGAAATGGAAAGGAGACCGTGCAGGCATGGCCTCTGGGACTAGAGGCCCCCATGGACCCCGCGGGCTTGCTGGTTTACAGTTATGACACTTTTCCGATTTCTCACTAACAAGGAAATCTACCACTTCAGAACCATCATTCCCCAAGGTCCCCTCCCACTGCTGTAAGAACATCTGACTTCCTTTCCTCTGGTCCTCTGGGACCCTCACCAAATCAAAGAACCTGGCTTCGGGGTCCATCTAGTAAGAACAACCTAAAATCCTAAAAATAAAGTAAGCCACATGGTGCAGGCAGCCCCGGGGAGAATCACCAGGGAATCCCACAAGCTGGCAGGCCCCTATCAAGTCCACACTGGCCCACACTTCATTCAGAAAAAAACACTCTCCTACCTTACAGAATATAAAACCCTGGGCATGGCCACATGAAAATATTTTATAGTATCCTTTAACAGCCTTTAAATGTTGAAACCTAAAAACAATATTTGCTGTTTTCTCTTTGAAGCACTAACAAAGCCTTTGTTTTAAATTTACCTTTAGTGTGCAATAAGAGTTAATAATCAAATCCATCCCAACCCCCACAAATGTTAAACAAAAAGATAAAAGAAATGCAAATAGCTATTGTCATGGAAAGTTAAAGTACCTGTCTGTATTTTTAAATGAAAACTATTATCTCTATCAATCAAAATTTAAGAATACAATAGTGCTAATCACAGAAGGTGCTCTGACGGAGTTACTTTTCCTCACACAAAAAAGTATTTTTCCCCTTCAAAACCGGGTATAAAAGTCATATACTTCCAATTAATAGGGTATTTGTAATTTTATTATTAAAAACCTCAGCAGCCTCACTGTTAATAACTGCTTCTAAGTCTCTAAACTGATTTGTACCCAAGAAGACCCAAGTCCCTACATAT